AATTTTATAAACTTGGCAATTATTACAGAATTTAAAAAAGTTTTCGAATAGACCCAACGTCATTTGTTGTAATTTTACTTAGTAGCCTTTTCTATTTCTGGATTGTCTATTAGTATATATTATTAAAGTTAGCTGTAATAAATTGATTTAAAATTTTATTGAGTTGGTTCTCAAAAGCTTAATAAGAATCGATTCTCAATAAAAACTTAAGAATCAATTTTCATCAAAGTTTTAAAACTCTCGCTACTAATTAGATTATTTTGTTGAATATGAAAAAAATCTTTCAACAAAGATTATTATTAACCTGGCTCAATTACCTATGTAAATTTTATTTCAAAATCTATATGATATCTTTTTTCAACTTCCAATCAAGATTATACTTGTTTTCCAAGAATTTTATTAATGTTTTCCCAACTTATTAATTGCTGACATAATTATATATGTAAAAAAAAAAAAAAATATATATATATATATATATATAATATATATATATAAAAAAAAAAAATCCATATTATCTAATTCCATTCATTAACGTAGTCGATTTCTTTCAAGTTATAATAATCATCGTCATTACTAAAAAACTGATCTTCATTTTCACTAGCATAATTATCAGCGTCTTCATTAATATAATTATATTCATCTTCATTAATATAATTGTCTTCATTAATATGATTGTCTTCATTTTCACTATTACGATTATATTCGTCTCCATTAATCTGACTATCTTTATCATTAATTAAATTGATTTCTTCTACCAAATCCAGATTAAGTCATTAATTTTAAGATTACTTGTAGTATTGAACATTAACTAACATTTAAGATTTTACCTATATTGGTATTTAAACCTTCGTTTGTATCAGCATTCAAATTTTTATTCATATTACTATTAGAACTTTCTTCTATATTAATACTGGAGTTTTCACTAATGTTATGCGATTCTTCATGTATATATATATGATTACATGAATTTGTTTGTGGACTAAGTTGGTCATAATCAAAAATTAAATGATCTTCTTTGCCATCCTGTGAGTTGGAAATTCCACAACATTTCAAAGATTTACGAATAAGAGTAGAATCTATGTTATTCCATGCATCAAGCACCCATTGAGCAATTAAATTGTATGCAGGACGTCGAATACGGCCTTTTTTGGTAAAGGTGTGAACTTTACTTGCTATCCATTTATTATAGTAATTCCGCACCTATAAAAAATAAATTTATTAGCTATTTATCTATCCTTTAAACTATCAATTTAATCTTAAATATACTTAATATAGACTATGATTTAATATAATATAATTTAATTATAA